TATGTGTTCACTTTATTTAGTTTAAGATAATAAAGAAACTGATGGATAGATTTTCTCATACCCATAGGGTGAATACATCTACTAATAGTCCCAAAAAATCTGCTTATAAATGAAAACAATTAGCAATGTAATTGAGTGCTATAGAAAATACAACTTCATCGACTGGTCAATTACAAAATGTGATACCAGAAAATGTCGAAAATTCCTTGAAATTCTCATCTGCACTGTGACCCAGGGGCAATCGTCACAATGTGGCGTAGTGGTTAGTGTGTCGAGATTATACGCTGCAATGTCATGGTTCAAGTCCTGCTGGGGGTGCTCATGAGGCCTTGGCAAGGTCGAAACTACAGTCAACCGTGGTCATTTTGAAACTCGAGGCCATGTGAAATCCAGTGGAAACGTAAGGTCTACTTATATAATTGTGGGAAAAATCAACTAACCTTATAACCGTAAACGAAATATGGTGAATAAATATAATATATATGATTAATTGGTAATAACGAAGACTTTAATGTGTTTTCGATGAGGCCAATTAACGAATTGTTTCTAGACGACTTCTCCGAGATTTATAGCCGAGTTGCACATATTTTCGATATAATTAGGTTTCGAGAATAGCGGTAATTTTCAAATGGGAACCTAGTCCGCCAAAGATGATTTAAATAGAGATGGCTTAGTTTATCCAACCATCAGATGAGTAGGCCTCCCGATGCCATTGAAATTCATTTAGCGAGAAAAGGTGTTCTCATCAGGCTGGATCTCGTCCAGGTCTCAGCAACACTCCCAGCGGAATTCGATACCGAGTAGTGAGTAGCATGGCGGCGTTTACCATTCCAATAGATGGCCAGGGTGCCTGCGAGTGAGGACATTCACGGCAATTCACCATTGGGATAGACAGCGCTACTTATTTTCAATATAAGTAGTCCTTGAGACTATCAGACTGCTTGAATAAAAACGTGGTCAGTCTGGATCGCCTAAGATGATTTAAGGGTGGATAGTAGAGTTTTTCACATATTGAGACAATCGGCCTTACAAACGGAGTCGCACTTGCTCAAACGGTACATGATAGCGTAGAAAGCTGATGATTTTGCAAATGTGCACATTAAGACTCACCTTCTGCTTGGCGTGACGGAAGGCCATTAAGGCGATTCCACATCCGGCGCCGCCGCCCCTTTTGAGGGTAGCCTCTTCCTGCTGTTCGGTTGCCCCGCCCTCTCGTATGCCCTCTGCGGTGATGGATGCTGCCGCCACCAGACAAGCACTGGTTGTTGCGTTCGTCTCAACGCCAGCCTCGACTGTAGGCTTAAACTCAGCAACAGAACCAATGGAGGGGTCGGCCGGAGTTAGCGTCGGTGCGTCAGACCGCCGAACCGGCGTCTGTAGCGACCCGACTCGTCCGCTGGACGCTGGGCCCGCAATCGGACTCGGACTCAGTCCCGGAGTTTTATTGGTCTGGGCTGCTGTCGGACTGGGCGGTAGCATCAG